ACAAAGCGCAAAACAGTGTACAACCCAAGCTCCAAATATCAACCTTCTCATCAATAACTGAACCTGTTTTAACATCGAACAGCTCCGGGGCTCTGTACGGCATCGTAGAAGTCTCCGCAGCATGGTCTTGTACAGCTAAAGCTTGTGTCCGATTCGTAATAGGTGTTGGGGAAGGAGTTAATGATCCGAAATCCATTAACACGGGTGTTACGCCGTCGTCTGAAATCATAATATTTCCAGGCTTGATGTCTCGGTGTGCCCATGCTTGTGCTTCGTTCGTATTTCCCTCGCTCTGTCCTTGCATCAATCCTGCTCCCTCTCCTGCCTGCTCTCCGCCGGCTGATGGTCCTGAGATCTTGTGGTCATGCAACGCTTGTACTCCCTTGCATACCCCGAGGAATAACCGCATTAGTTCCTTTTCTGGGAAGTTGGTGTGATTCACCAGATTCGCATTTACGGCATCTTGTAGATTTCCCCTTCTGAAGTATGGCAGTAGGATGTAAACTGTCTTCTCTCCTCCCTCGTTATCGTCCCTTCCGACAACTGTAGCTCCTCGCCCGCTGCTCGAAACTATTGCATAGTCGATTGACGAAATCAAGTTGGCATGATTAAATCGTTTATAGGATTCGGCTTCCTTTATGGCGACACTGACGGATTCCGCTCCAAAGGGGCAACGGATCTTTTTTAAGGCGTAGAGAGAACCGTCGCTGGATCGTACTAGATATACATAACTGAAACCACCTTCACCGAGTAATGAGAGGATTTTGAAGGTGCGCTGGTTGATAACGAGGTTCGGGGAGGACGGAAAGCAGGTGAGGCAGCCAGTTAGAGAGTAGACGAAGTCGAGAAGATATTGAGCCATTATGGCGGTCGGTTAAAGGATAGTACGTAAAGTTCAAACTTTGTTGCACGGCTTTGTGGGGTGCGTGGGGCTCGCGGGGTGGTGAGGCTGAAGAGGTTGATGCGCGATCGAGAACTGAGATGCGGAGCTGAGCTAAGCTAGAGTTCTAAGCTGCACGCACCTAACGCCACAATTTCGCCCTGTGAAAGGACAGGTGCTTTGGCGGATACGAAATGCGAGATGCGAGAACGATTGAACGCAGTTTTGATGAATTGAAAGACGAAGATGCGGGAGAGTGGTTGAATGGATTCGGTAATGAGCCATTCGGGTGCTACATGGGTGAGACACGGTGTCCAGTCATTGGGACGCGTCATGGTCCATCAATTGAAAGTTAAAATTACTTGTAATCACTTGGAATTACTGTTGAGTAAGTCAACAGCAACATTATTGGTTTGCCTCGTTAAAATTTTGGATTACGATAATCAATCTTCGGCTTTCAACTGGATTATGGTTTTAAAAAAATGTGTGATATAATATCTTGCGCACAGTCACTCGATGTTACCGGATATGAGTATTCTGAGTGATATCTGGGTGATGCTGCTGCTGAAACCAGTATGTAGATGCGTGTAACCCCACCTGCCCCCGCACTTGAATACATTGGGCAACTATACATAGAAACACTCCAGACAGAAAGTACATCACACATCCACAGTCAGTACTGCTCCTGAAAAGGACTAATTCGAATCCGCTGCTCGTTCGAACTGTTTCAACAAAATGTCCGATCCCTTGAGCATGATAGCGAGTATCACTGGAATCGTCGGCGTATCCATTGAAATCACCAAGACTCTTACATGTTTCATCAGCAGCGTCAAATCGGCACCCAAGGAGGCCTCTCAGCTCACCACTGAAGTATCCGCTCTTCATAATGTTCTTGAGGCTCTTACCTTGGTCCTTGAAGCCGACAACTTCAAAAACGATACCTTTGATGAAGAATCTATATTGTATTCTATCATTGTCGCTTGCGAAGAGAACATAGCACTTATCAACGTTAAAACTACGAAGCTAAGAAATGCCAGTAAAATCGCTGGAATTAGCTTGGCGCGTCTTGTATGGCCGTTCAAGAGAGAGGAGTGCTTGGAAATTATTCAGACTTTGCATCGTTATGTTCAGACTTTGCAGGTTTTGTTAATTTCCTCTAATCGGTAAGCTTAGAGCCACTGTGTTTCAAGCAAGGATTGCCTAACATGCCGAAGTACTTTATTGATTGAGACCTCCACGACCGTAATGGAAAAGTTGGAGGAACAACACAAATCTATCACTCATGCTATCATGGACTTAGCAGAAAGCTCTGGTGCTATAATGAATAAGATTGCAGTCGGTGTGGAGAAAGTACAATCTATATTGGAAGGTTTGTCCCACCATCAATACGTCTTTATTAAGAGGTCAAAATAAGCCTTCAACTAATCTTCCAAATCAGATGTCGAGTTGGAAAAAGTTATCCAGTCTCTTTCGCCATTGGAACCTCATAAACGACACCAGGATATTAAATCAAAACGACTAAATGATAGTGGAAAGTGGTTTCTAGATACCCCAGAGTTCACAACATGGTGTGATGGAGATAGAACTGTCAAGGGGTTTAGTTCCATCTTGGGAGGCTATGGAATTCCGGGTGCTGGGAAGTCTGTAATGAGGTAAGTGATAAAGCATGAAGGCATACTACAAGAGAAAGCTGCTAATGCGTACTCAATAGCTCTCTCGTTATAGATTATCTCAGCGAAAAATACTCAAGCCATAGGAGCCAAGTTTGTCTCGCCTATGTGTACTGTGACTACCGGGATGAAGAAAACCAAACTGCAGTTCATCTTATCGGCGCACTGTTGAAGCAAATTCTAACTAGAAACTCTAAACATCTTTCACAGGAGTTCCTAGATAGTCTGAGAAAGCAGAAGAAGGATACAGAGGCCGGCAGTCTTGATATTGCTACAGCAGGTCAACTTTTAAGGGATGCTCTACAGCATTTCGAAAGATTTTACGTTTGCATTGACGCGTTAGATGAATGCAAGGAAGAGCATAGAAAGGATCTTGTGGCGGCAATCAAACCCCTGTTGGAACATTCAGAAATATCAGCCCATATATTCGTCACCGGAAGATCTTATATGCAGTCTCAGGTGGAAAAGGCGTTGCCTATTTTGCCATTGAGAATCATAATTCGGGCCAGTGAGGATGATATCCGGAGATACGTAGCTAGACAGCTCGAGAAGGACGAAAACTATGACGACGTGGACGAAGAATTCAGGAATGAAATTATGGAAAAAATAGTCAACACCGCAGATGGAATGTGAGTCATCATGTAGGGTATCTTCTATAAGGCTACCGTGTACTAACATGTTGGTGTACTCAAACATTAGGTTTCTTTTGCCTGCTCTCCAAATCCAGTCGGTGCTGGAACAAACAAGCATTGCCGATAGAAAGGCGGCACTCGATAAAATGCCCGAAAAGCTCGACGCTGCTTTTCAAATCACCATCGATAGAATCGAACGTCAGGCTCCAGCTAAAGCTAAACTGGGCATGCGAGTTCTAAAATGGACATTCCTAGCTTTGAGACAATTGAAAACTATCGAATTGCGCCATGCTCTTGCGGCAATCGATTGTACTTCCGATACACTTGATTTGGACGCCCTACCGTTCGAAAAGTCCATAACTGAGTGCTGTTACGGTCTCGTTATTATTGATAAAGAAACATCTTCCATTCGTCTAGTCCACAAATCTTTACATGATTATCTTAAGCAACAATACGAGGCTGGAAAGATATTCATGGACGGTCATCGCGAAATTGCTCGTACTTGCCTGAAGTATATGGGGATTCGCATTGACAGAAAGGACTGGGATCCCGCGGAAGTTTCTGATACCATGCAGTGCCTGATATTTGGTACTGGCGGCGAACAAAAGCAGAAAGCACTTGCTGAAACAGGATATAACTCCCCACTTCTCGACAAGTATCCGTTTCTCTCTTACACAATCCGGTTCTGGGGAGAACATATAATGGACAAAACGGATCAAGAACTCACAAACTTAGCAAAATCCTTTCTATTCGTGGACAACCAAAATCCACATATTGCGCGCAACCTATGTGCGGCATTATTCTCAGTCTATGGACAGCATTCGTATGATGAGCTCATCGAAAACCACGATTCTGCATTACATCTCGCCGCCTATTTTGGTTTGAGTCGTCTAGCTGAGAATCTTCTGTCATTAGATACTGTTCGATTGGACTGGCCAATAGGTCGTAGCACACCATTAACGGTGGCAATTGCACGGGGATATAAAAGCATTGTGGATATGTTAATTGCTGCCTATGCAAAGAAGGGTATTGATCTGGAACATCGTCGTCCAGGTCGGTCACCTCTTTACATTGCTGTTACGCATGGAAGGGATGACATAGTATTGGCTTTGTTAAATAACGGCGCAGATGTCAACTGTATAGTTGGAAAGCACAAAAAGACGCTGTTGTATTACGTGCAGGATATAATTTCAAGAAGAACGGCTGGAGAAAAGGTTATATATCCTAAAGTTGCACTCGAACATCTAAAAGGTATCAAGAAATTGTTGATTGAACGAGGCGGAAAACGGGATATCTAGAGTTCTCTTTTGCTTGTCGGTCATTTTATTCTATGTATGCTGCAACATTCACTGAGATGTAATGAGAAATGAGGATATGTACATATTTACTTTAGACAGAATTTGGACATTTCTGTATGCACACTAACTCTAAAATCAGGTCTAAGTCAGATGCCAAGAAATTATCTTTTTAGTGAGCACAAAAGTTAGACACCCTGATATGATGGAGAACAGTATGCACTTGGAGTACAACGGGGTATAAATTAACCTCTACATCTACCAAACCATACCTTCAGACCGAGGCAAGCCAAGTGGAGCCTGAGGCTAGAAATAGGTTCTTCCTAACTCTTGTGACATGTTATGTACAATACGGGAACGCTTACTACAAAATCCATATCAACAACACTGCTGAGTCCAATATCCAACGCCTACTGAACTCTCCAGGACGAGGTATCTACCAGATCTTTTGACAATGGGTCCGTCAACCTCACCTACATGCTTTTACTTTATATTGACAGAAGTAAGTAGAACACACATCTCTGGTCGCTTAGCTCAGTTGGTTAGAGCGTGGTGCTAATAAGCAATTCCTTGATAACGCCAAGGTCGCAGGTTCGACCCCTGCAGTGATCATTTTTTCCCAGTGGCCTTTCCATATCTTTCTGGAATGCACTGGAAAGTATTTCTTCGTCATCTCCTTCCTTTTGAAAATTTCTGTTTCTCAGTGAGAGAAGTTCTCTTCTTTGTGATGAGGAAGTGGGGAGGGTGGGCTTCCTCTCAGTTGGGCTTAGTGTGCTATTGTCAAAAAGAAAGAAAACAAAAAAGCGTAGTTAAGTGTGCAAGAATAAGCGGAATGCTGATTTACCAACAGTTCGGTTCCGTGTGGCGTAGTGAAAAAAATAAATAAACAAGATGGTCAGATAGAGCTATCGCACAGCACAAACGGTGTCACGGGGTGTCACGAGGTGTCAACTGGTCAGAGTATGTGCTACAGTATACGAGGTTTCCCTCAATCCATGTCAAATTCTTTTAACCAATTCTTATAAGTAATCGTAATGTTAAGGCCCGACCCTCCGCGATGACAAGTATGATAGCTGAAGTATTGTAACAACAATAAAAGTTGATTCTCAAATAATGGTTCTCTTTGAGAAAAAAAAAGGGAGGGAGGATAAAATAATGTAAAAAATAATGATAACCATATAATCCAATGCAATCACATGATGCAATAAATAATACTTCTTGATTTGAATCGCCCATCCCATTTTACCTGTAACGACCGCTTTGATTCACCATACTTCGCTTCGATATGTGGAATAATAATATTGTAATACTTCCAGGGAACACAGAATAACAGGCCGAAAGAGGAAGAGAGAAAATAAAAAAGAGAGTAAAATAATCATCGTTCGTTCATAAGTAATCCAATCCACATATCCATCCGCCTATACCACTTTGCCGTCACTCTTGATTTTCAATCCGAGATTCCGGATCCCCAAGCATCATTATTCTACACACCAGCACACACCCGTACCACACCACATCTTCTCTTCTCCCTCCCTCCTACACGCCAAATTCATCGCTGGCCAGAAAAACGTAAGTAATGTAGTACAAAAAAGAAAAAAAAAACTTATTCAGAACCAATCTTTTAAAAAACCAACAACGACTAAGTTAAGCCTCAGTAAACAAAGGTATCGACTTCCACAAAATTTTCCGTTCCTCCCCACGCCCTGGCTTGCCCTATCCTTCCTTCCTGTACCGTTCTGCTCGCTAATGATATCTTAACCTATAGAAACTCCTTGATTCCTTGACCTTCACCTACGTCTTCATTCTTCTTCACTCTTCACTGTTCCCCTGCCTCTAATTTTATTTCCATCAAGTCCCTGAGCGATTTAATGGAAATAAAAAGAGACCATACTAAAATAAACTGGGAATTGAAGCAATTAAGCATCCTTCTTCTCCTCCTCCTCAGCCTCAGCTTCGGCAACCTTGGATTCTTCGCTGGGAGTATCCCGCATTTCAATCTCTTTAGTCGCAGGTGCCTCCTTAGACTCCTCTTCCTCAGCAGCCTCCTTCTCCTCGGTCTCCTCCTTATCGTCCTTGGCATCCTCGGCCTCAGCCTTCTCAGCCTTCTCCTCGGTCTCCTTACCGGCTTCCTCGGTCTTCTCAGTCTCCTTGGGCTCATCAGACTTCTCGGCCTCGCCGTTGGTAGCAGGCGCAGCATCAGCCTTAGTCTCCTTGGATTCCTCGGGCTTTGCATCCGCGGTGGTTTCCTCACCCTCAGCTGCCTTTAACAAATCCATCCAGACTTGCAACAAAGCGTTGGAACGCTCTTTGAATTGGAATTCTTCCTCACGGGGAATCTCAAAATCTACTTTGGCAATTCCGCGGAGAACCTTGTGGATCTTTGTGGCCTATTTGATATGTTAGCCTTGCTTCACAAGTCTCTTACAATAACCCGCCGAATGGGGTATTTCCGGATTTACAGCTTTGCAGCTTTGCCGAGTGATATAGGAAATAATGGAGTCGCTTACCCTGATCAAATCGGCGGGAATGTTGTTGTAATCTTCAAGCTCCTTCAAGACGTCGGAAAGTCCCTCCATGTCCTGTTTTTCGTTAGTTTTGCTTAAACTATTGTGTCACGACTAAATATTTCAAGTTCTTACCTTTGCCTGAGGTGGAATCTTTTCCTTATTCAGGAAAGCCTTCTGAAGCTTATGCCGTCTCTGAAGCATAGAGTTTTTCTGCTCCTCTTCGGTCTTCTCCTTGGTCTCCTCCTCGTCATCTGACTCAACGGTCTCCTTGCTCTTAGGTGCCTTTTTTCCCTTGGTAGCCGGGGTTGAAGACTTCGTCTTGGGAGCGGGAGTCTTCTTCTCCTTCTTAGCAGCGGGGGTCTTGGCAGTAGTTCCATTGGCCGCCTTTGGAGTTTTAGGTGCCTTTGCGGTGGCGGGGGTCTTAGGGGTTTTAGCCTTAGCAGTGGCCTTCTTCGGAGTCTTTGCGGGTTTCTCGCTTCCAGCCTCCTCATCGTCAGAGGCACTCTCGGACTTCTTCCTCTTCTTTCCACGAGCGGCTTTCTTGGGTTTACCGTCTTCCGAGGCCTCATCTTCACCCTCGGCGGCCGCCTCAGGCTCGTCAACATCCATATCGTCTGCGGGAGCAACAAGCGCATTTTGAACCTCCTTCACGTCTTCGAGCGTGAAAGGCTTCTTTGCATCCTCGAAAGCTGCAGCGAGCATTTTACTCTTGCGGTTTCCTTCTAGCGCAGCTGGAGTGAGGCGCTCAAGGTCGGTAATAGCAATCCACGCACTACAGTTGACATGTTAGTGATCGGTCTGATGTCGAAGAAAAAAAAACAGGGATTGCGATGCAACGGTGTCACGGGTGAAATTTTGTGGGTACGCTGGACGGGAATGGGCAAAAAATGATAAAAGTGAACAATGTACAATGCTAGGAATGCAGCTGCCTTGTCAAGGGGTTTCAAAACCTGCCGGTAAAAGCAGCGCAATCATGTCCACCCTTTCGGTATGACGCGGGATGGAAAATCATCCACCCACGTTAATCCGGGGGGCTGAAATTGACAATCGCCCACAACACAGCCTCATTGGAACCCCCTTAGGCTTGGAAAAAAAATCTGGAAAAACGCGATCTCAACAGAACTGAGGGGAAAAACTTACTACTCATATGTTCCCAAGAACATAACGGGGAACTGACTCTTAAAAGCCTGATCTCCTAGGCTTCCCAAACTCTTCGTCTTGTTTGAAGTCTGGGGATTCCTCAAGATTTCCGGCAAAAGCTCCTCGTTCAAAATCACGGCCGGCCAAGGTGGGTAACTCCTCATCCTTGCCAAAACATGATCTCCGGATTCGTACTTCTCGGCAGCTGCAGCAGCTGCCTTTGCCGGGGTCTTCTTGAGGTTGGCCAGTGACTTCTTCTTACCTGGAGTCTTTGCGGGCGTCTTTGCTGGTGTCTTTGCTGGGGCCACAACAGCAGGTGTTGCATCCTCCTTCTCGGCATCGGCGGAAGACTCTTTCACTTCCTCGGATGAGCCGTTGGTTGCATCTGCATCCTCGGATTTCTCCTCAGAGGCTGCGGTAGGCTCGTCCTTGGTCGCGTCGGAAGTGGCCTCAACGGCGGTCTCCTCAGCAGGCGCGTCTTTCACTGTCTCCTCAACGGGACGTGGTGATGTAGGCGTGTCTTCAGCCATTGGATGGATGATTTGGTGTTAGAGAGTGAAAAAATGGATGTTGGTAACGCGCTGGACGAAGGGAGGCAGGGGACTTCGTTCTTCGTCGCTTTGCGGTGCAAGATATGTTGTGAAGGAGATGAAGGATATCCCCGTGTGTTTAATATGAGAGTGGATGTGCTTGTGCGTACTCAAAAAGCGATAGTGGTTGCAGCGAGTACTCGTAGAGATATCGTGGGAGTGATGGTAGGTTGTGGTGATGGTGGTAGTGGTTAGTGGTCTGTCGCTGGAAAAGTTAGAGCGAGTAGAGGGTTTGCGTTGCTGCTCTTGGTTGCTCGGGAAGGCCACTGCGGGTGGACATGGACAGGATTCGACTGACAAGCATCACAAGCAGAGCAGCGCAACAGACTAACCAGAGACAGGGTTGTTCCTTTGGTAGGGAAAGACGATCGGGACAGCAGCCAGCCACAGCATCAGGAGTCCCCAAGTCCAATTAACATCGCGCGATGAGCCCAAGACAACCCCCCCCCCCCTCCATCACCATCCCCCCGACGTGATGAATCAACCACCACTACATACACCGCTGAGGGTCAACTTCAACAAATGTCGATAGGCGAGCGGGCAGCGGACTGTAGCCTACTAATACATTACATTCTCAACAACAACAACAACAATAACACCAATAATAATAACAATAACAACAATAATAATAATGATAATAACAAACAACCAAACAAACACGCGTGCCTAGTGATATTATATATATCAACGAATGGGACGGAATCAAAATTCAATTTGGACGAGACGATAATGAACAGCCAGTCAACCAGGTCGCGCGCGACTAGAGTACTGCATCAACAATGTAACATCCCCCAACAAGTCCATGCAAACAGCCGATTTGTATACATCCATCTACACTCTTACGTTACACGGGTAGGTTGCACAAGTAGTGGAAATAAACAAGACCCGTCTGCTATCAGATCAAGATAACTGGCTCGAATCAATTAATAACCAACCTCACAAAAGCGTCCAGCTCACATCTCACCTGTCACATCAAGAAAGAACCCTTGCATCTGAGTCTCCCGCAATTCCTGCCTTTGTTTCCTATTTGTTTAGGCTGCAAAACAGAACTAACGATCACCGTCCCGTGGTTATCCCCGTCCATGCATTCGCTTATGCTGACGAACTGGCGCCGCGTCAAAAAAATCTTCCGCAAAGTCCACAAAAATTGAACGTTCCACGGTGTCTAGCCGTATATAGCGCCGTAAAGTCCGGTGAATAAATGGAGCGAGCGCGTTGTGTATCAACATGATGTTGGATTGATGCGCATGTCGAGCCCAGATTTGACTACCTTCTCTCACCTGGTAGACCGAGTCGCATCCACGATTCTATAGCTCGGGTTTCAGTAAATACGCATCGATAGTAACCGTGGGGTGGATGCTTCAGGAAACCGACA